TTTATCCACCCGTATGTATGTATGTATGATCTATATCTATCTATTTATCATCATCTTTTTATCTATCTCTATCACCTATATAATTTAAAATAGTACTTTTGTTTCTCCATGATCCCACAGACATGCCTAGTTATCCTTACTGAGTTTTTAAAAAGAACTACTAATCTATTTCTCTCTGAAACAGAACATTTTATTCATAGGTTAGGAGTATCAGAATTAAATCATGTTGTAGCATGTGGCTTGTGACTGCCTGAACTTGACAAGTCTTGGCCTCCTTGTATTAAGATTTAACTAGATACTCTAATTAGTCCTTTGTGTGGTCCTGAAGTGCATGTGTGTATGTGTGTGTATGTATTGTGCATATATGTGCATGTATATATGTCAACACGTATATATGTATGAGTATACATATATATATTTTGAATGCAGGGAGGAAGATAATTGATATTACAGCATTTTAACTGGGTGTCTATTAAGTTGAGCTATATAAAATTGCCAACATTCCACCACTTTTGTCACACAAAAACAGCAATTTTATACGATACGGTCTAATACTACCAATGAAACTCTAAGTTCTCAAAAAATGAACAAACAAAAAGAGGTAGAAAATAAAACAAAGCCCTGTTGCCTGTCTCTTTTGCTCAGCCTGGGGTCATCTGTATGGCCAGGCCTACGATTGTATGTCAAAAGCTACTGACCTTCGGGGATCTGTAAAGGAAATGCACGTCTCACATGAAAGAAGTGGCCCCTGGCAATCAGTGCGATGGGGTGGTTTTGAAATTTCTGAGTGAACCGCTTTGTATTACTTTCTCCTGGAGCTGGTCCGTATGTACTTCTCTCTGTCCTAATGTGGAGGGATGTCCTCATGCACCGACTGTTAGATGTTAGAACGTCAACAAGCAGGACAAACATGACAAATGTCTGCCTTTCCAGTGAGCTAACATTTTCATCCAAGCTATGTACACATCATACGTATTTCCCCTAATACTTGTGGCACAATTCGCTGAACGGGGAATCTTGCCCACTTCCCCACCTCCTGGTCTGGCCGCTCAAAGATGCAACAAAGACCAACTCAGAATACACAAAGAAACCAAGAGCCAATCAGTAAAGAGAAGGCTGCCCCCACGCTTAAGTCAAGCAAGCCATTCATTGAGCTAATGTGATGATGGACCTGTCCAATCCAGAATGTTTCACGGACACATCAGCAACACCAAGTGGCATGCAATGACCAGATGACCATCGGCCCCACTGCCATGCTTTGATTGGTTCAAGCTCAGGAAACAATCTTCTTTGAGAGTTTGAATAGTTGGTTTTTTGTAAATCAAAGCGAGATTACAAATAAAGATTTAGTGAGGTCAAGTGCTTACCAAATGTTTCCTAAATGCCAAGAAAAGATGTCTGCCTATTCCCATTAAATTTGTCAGTGAGACTATAAAATCACCTAGTCCAGTCAGGTGTTTTTCTTTTGGGGAGATCTCTGCCCACACCAGATGGTCTTCGTTCTGGAGGTCGGCATTCAGAAACCCTCAGGTGCTCCGAGATAATCAGCATGTGATCATTTAACCAAAAAGATGATGAGCAGGGAGTTGCAAGATGCCCATCAAGGACCTTCTGGACAGTCCTGAGGTCACTGGAGTTCAATATTTTCCAAACGTCCCTGAATCTTTAATTTGATGAGGGCTTAATTTGTGCCAATAAAAGGTAAAATTCTACCAACTGGGGACACCAAATTTCTTTCATTTTCAAGACATCTGAAGAGTGACTCACAATTACAGGGAAAGTCTGCTGCAGTTTCTCTTTCGATCGAGTTGACAACTAGTAGGCGTTACCAAAACATTCTCACTTACCTGCTGATTTTGCTTCCTGTTTTGGAGGAGTATCTTTGGGTTAAGAAGTTTTGCCTCTTTGATATCCTGCCTGTCTTCTAGAACAGGAACTAAGAATCTATCACTACTATTACACTGTAATCCCATAAAAATAAATTATTACACAGCTGCCCTAAGATAAATTCTAGATACTTGGCATCTTTAATCTAGATGCAAAAACTATTCTGGTAATTTTACATTTCCCCCCAAATATGTATCT